CAAGAAAAAAAGTCAAATTCTGAGAAAAAAGTCAAATTTGAGATGCATTGTGGGACATATGGTTTATGGGCAACATGCTTCGGTAAATCGCCATGTAACCGTATAATAAACATATTATATTCTTTCACAGCTCTTGTGGGGCCACAGAAAATGAAGTGAAGGCCAGTCAGCCAGCCCTTTTGCACTTTGTGCTGCTGCTCATACTTAAAAGTGCAGTCCATATGCCTAAGACGTATAGCACCCTTCTGTGCTGGTAATTGTGTTTGCATGATTTAAAATATAAATATGTCCAAAAGTGTAACTCCTTATCAGACTATCGTGCTTAACATTATATTTCCTATCAGGTGAATGCTTTGGATGGATATAACCGCACAGCTCTGCACTATGCAGCAGAGAAGGATGAGAGCTGCGTGGAGCTGCTGTTGGAGTACGGGGCCCTGCCCAACGCCCTGGACGGCAACAAGGACACTCCACTCCACTGGGCCGCCTTTAAAGATAACCCAGAGTGTGTGAGGGCCCTGCTGGAGAGCGGGGCCTCTCCCAACGCCAGGGACTACAACAATGACACGCCTTTGAGCTGGGCAGCAATGAAGGGCAACCTGGAGAGTGTCAAGGTGCTTTTAGACTACGGCGCCCAGGTCCATGTCACCAACCTGAAGGGCCAGACCCCTATCTCCCGCCTGGTGGCCCTGTTGGCCCGGGGCCTGGGCACTGAACAGGAGGAGGAGTGCCTGGAGCTGCTGTGCCGGGCTGCAGGACGCTTTGAGATCCGCCGGGCTGACGGCACGCTTCCCAAGGAGCTAAGTAAGGATCCCCAGCTGCTGGCCAGGCTGACCAACATGGTGTCTCAGGCTCCCACTCTGCGCTCTCTGTCGCGCTGTGCCATCCGCCAGAGTCTCGGGGTCCAGTTCCTCCCCACTGCTGTAAAAGAGCTTCCTTTACCAGAGACAATCAAAGAATATTTACTGCTGAGAGACTGAAGGGATGAAACCTTTGGGGAGCTCTCAGACCTCACTAGCTTTTTTATTAGCTCAACAGAAAGCATTTATTGGCAAGGGAGTGTCATGGTATTGTGAGATACTGTCTGGAAGTGGCCCGTCATTCATCAAACTTTGCAAATGAGTACAGATGTATGCCCCAGGAGAGATGTTCAAACCCCCAAGTCTTTATTTTGATTATCTATGAGGAAACTTCTTAATTAGCAGTGCATTCGTTTTAGTGTGATCAGTTTCAGTTGTTGGAAGAAGACTGCCCCAGTTCATGTTTATATTGTTTCTACAGCTGAAAATGATGCACATGTAACATGTAGAAGTCTCTTCTCAGCCCTTGCAGTACAGAGAAAAACTATAACATCAGGTTTTTTAGGCTTCATGTAGGCTTATTATTGATTTTTCATTATGCAAAATGTATTATGTTTGTATCAATGTTACATTTTAATACTTAATTATAATGTTATTATGGTTTGTCACAGAGCATGAGGGAAATCCTAAATGTTGAGTTTGGTTGTAGAATTAGTATATGCTCATTGTGAGATTTAAATGTAAGATAAGATAAGGGCTAAAGTGTGATGATGCAGGCAGTCAGGTCCTGAAATAGTGCTCAAGAATGTTATGTAGTGTTTATAATAGTTGGAGGGGCCATCTTTCTCTCTATGACATCCCAGTGAACTCACTATCACTTTTGCAACACCAAGGAAAGACAAAAAATAAAAGTTGAAAAACACTCTGCCCAGCATAGAAGATGTTGTGTGCGATGGAAACAGCTTTGTTTGTGATGTAGCAATGACATGTTGTAACAACAAAAAAATTAGGTTAAAATAAGTTTCTCAAAATGTGCCAGACACATTGTTCTAGTCCTGTGTTCAACGCTGTTAAAAGTGACGTCCACTAGCCTGCTTTCATATGCGATTTTACTATTTATTTTGGCTTTTATTTTAATGAAGATGCAGTTGCCAAGGAGGAATACATGTTTTTTCTTTGTTTGTGTTACAATGGATGTTCTCAGTCTTACCTTGCAAAAGAAAAGGTTTTCAAATGTGTTCCAAGGTCCTCATTATTGTAACATATGTTTAATTTAAATGTTAGAACCAAGAAATGGCATGATTACTAAGTTTTTGTCCTTGAAAGATTCACTTAATAAGCTTGAACGATATATATTTGCGTTTGACATCTGATCATTTCTGTGCTTGTTTTTTTTTTTTGTCGGGCTGCTGTATAAAAAAAGATACCTTGGATTATGTCTTGTGTACAAGTGCTTTTTCTGTGTCAATGAAAGTAAATGCTTTTTTATATTTCATTTATGTTCTTCTCTCCATTGTTCTTCAAAAAATAAATCTGCTGTTTTGACATGTAATTGCAGGGTGATAATTGTGGTGGAAATTCCACACTTAATCACCTTCTGGTAAGAAAAGAACAAATATACAAGCTTAAACCGAAGTCGTGTCTCTAAATCTAAATGTCAGCCCGTGGTGTAACTATCGACGGTGCAACCGGTGCAACGCCAGAGCCGGCCAGGGGCCATGCAAAAAAAAAGAAAAGGTTTTTATTTGTATTTATTTATTTTGGGGCCCCAATGGCATTGACCGGTTCACGCAGTCTTCAAAGTAACCAAGGAACCTAAATTAATTTGTAATTTGTCTGTCCAATGACCTTGCTCCCTTTCATGACATGTGATACCTTGCGTGACGAGCGAACCGTTTAATCAACCTGTGCTGTAGCTAGCAGCAGCAAGTTCGGCAGCATTATAAAAAATGTAATAGCTTGCATTTGTAATGTACAGCAAACCAAAGCACAAGAGCAGCGCTCAAAAGAGACAGGTGTAACAGCTAAACTGACAAAATTATACAGTTTTTTTTGTCATACATCGTCCTCAAAATCAAGCGCTAACGTTAGCAATGTTGACGTGCAGCGGCACCCAGAGCCGGAGGCTAACGATAGCTCACCTGCCTCACCACCATCATTGCCATCTAGCTCCACAAGTGAAGCTGTATCCGTGGCCGTGGCTGTGCAACCTTCTTCTCCAGTCAGCCAGGAGGAGAGGCTGGATTTGGCTGTGCCCGGCGGTGGTCCAACAGTTCCCCCAAGGGCCCCAACCGATAGGGGACTCTATGGCGCTATTGAGACCCCCAACACCAAGATCAAAAGCTATATTATAGCAACCGGTCCATGTAGGCCTACCGGCCCATTCCCCAGAGACAAACATCAAGAAAACAAGTTTAATCCTCTTCTTAGTTCGCTGTGCCGTTGTCAGGCTGTGGTGGTCTGAGGCCAGGGCAGGCTGTTGTTGATAGCCTATACATGTGGTGCTTCTGAGTGGTTGTGTATGTCCCTGCGTGTGTGAGCGCATCAGCGTGCGCTTAAGTTTGGGAAGATGGGGGGGGGGCCCCAAAACAATATTTGCACCGGGGCCAATCACAACCTTGTTACGCCACTGATGTCAGCCATCATCAATTTCACTTTTTACAGCTGTGTTTAGCTTGCACCTTAATACACTGCGATTAAGGCTCTGTGCTAATTAAACTACATTTTCCATGCTCCTCTTTAACCAATAAAAAACACTCACGGACCACCTCACAAATATCCAAAAACAATAGGCCTGCTAGTCCTGCTTACCATTCCAACAGTATATAACAAATGACAGCCTAACCTTCACACAATAAATCAACAATACAAACAACTACAGATTATATAAGCATTTAGTTCAAATTTGATTTAAAATGCTCTCAGGTTTTACACCTCTTATGAAAT